AAGTGATCCCCTATTCGCCTTCTCCACTCAGCAGACGATGCGATAGGATGTAATTGGCAAAATTTTGGCATATAGCATTGAGTGACAGGGGTAGAATATGTGCTATCTCGAACTTAGGCAAATTACGCTATAACCTAGAACATTGTGATCAATCCAATCATGGGCCCATTTTTCAACGAATGTGAGCACATGAATGAGTTTCAACAGCTGCAACAAGGTTCCATCGAGCTTCGTACCTAAATCACCAGCATACCACCACAACCACCATAATCCTATTTCAAGGCTAAATGGGCCCTTCTTATCCTTGGCTAGGATGAGAAGGTTCAACTTCATAAGCGATCTGGCCTCTATGTCTGAACTATATCCAATTAGGGGGTCATGGCATAAGCCATGATATAAGCCAAGAAACCTTCATTTCCTGAATATCTTCCCTCTGATCAGCGCGACCGGTGGCAACTCTCCCTTGACTTGAAAGTTCTTACGAAGGATAGGGGATAAAAACCTTTGCAATCCACTGCCTTTCAATAGTTTCGTTGCTTGCCTCTTCGCGCACTTGTCGCCAGAATTAGTCCTCGTTTCCGCCCTCTTGTTTTTCCTCATCACCTCACCTCGTTCTATGTGGTCTTCCAATTTTCCTCCTCCATTTTCACCTTCTCTGTCTGTATCTTCACTCTGATATAATGTCCCATCAATATAAAGGTGATCTTCCAATAGCGTCACTTATCTTGCAGCATAGTAAGAATGTCCCATAATCAATATTGGATCCGTTTGTGCAAGTTGGGTATCAATGTTGCTTATTTGTTGCAGCATCTGCCCTAGTAGCATATAACATCGAATCCATGTTGTTTCAATGTTATGTGCTACTAGGGTGGACAAAAGTGCCTGAGTTGTCACTGGAGTACTTGGCATCTATTTCATTCACTACCCACACAGCTCAGGTATATCCCAAAAGATATCCCCTTGGGACAAGTGAGAAGTCCCGGGTATTTTACTTGCGGGTGTCTTCCTTTCTGCAACGCAATCATTTCCAATCACCCAGGACAGGCAGTTCCCAAACTGTGAGTCGCGACCCACTGGTGGGTCGCAAGAGACTTCAAGATGAGTCGCGAGAAATTCCCCATCATCAAAAACTATATATGCATCCGCTCGAGTTAAAACATGTACTGCAGATAAGTTCAATGAGTTTTCTTCACGTTATAATTACTTTGAAAATACCTCGTTATGGATTCCAATAAGTCGTGAAATGTTCTGGACGTCGGCAAGTGGGTTGCAATTCAAAGAAGACTGGGAGCCACTGACCTAGGACAACCCATTACTTTCGATGTTTCTATTTCATCTCCTAGGAATACCTAATCTGAAGTTCTTGACCAATTAGAGGGAGACGGTTTAGAGGGAGGAAAACTTTGCTCCTTTAAGATCCCAATGTAGAAGAGTTATCTCCAAAGGATACAATTTAGCACGCTCACACGAGAAGTCCCAGACTAAGACCTTAGACCTTATGTTGATCGAAACGTGTGGGCTTAGGTCTCCAACCAAGATAGTTGTATCCAGACATGCTGATCAGACATCATTAATGAGAATATAACGGAATAAATTGAAAATCGGACAGCAATTTTTTTCACTTTCCCTGATGTACGGTACGAAAATCCTCAGGATGAATCAAGTAGATCAATTTGATAGAAAGGATCTGAGGTTGGAGATCAGGGCCCACGGGAGACATCTACCATCGAAGATATGTACCTGACTGAAGGCGACGAAGAGCACTAAAGATGCCTAAAGACATCCCGAAGACATTCTCCTCAAAATATCAACAAGCGTTCGACTGAGGATGTCTTCATGGTATCCCCTCCAGGATATCCAGAAGCATTCGACTAAGGATGTCTTAAAGATATCCCGAAAGGGACATCCCTAAGATATCGACTGAAAATGTCTAAAAGACGTCTCTAAGATGTCCTGAAGACATCCCTTTCGAGATGTCCGAAATTGTCCGAAAGATGTATTCAGGATATCCTATAAAGACCATGGGACAAGTCGTCCAGTTGGGGACATCCCTGGGATATCACCGTGCTTTGTGGGTATTCTGGCTTAGGCGATTTCCATGGCTTTATACATGTATGAAGCGAAACCCAAAGTGGTACAACCATGTGGAATCCCTATAGAGGTACTTCCTTTTGCTGTCCTCAACTACCATGTTCAGCACTGCAATAAGTAACATGTAATTCAGTCCATTGGGCTAAAGAGAGTGTCGTATGCCTGGTTTCAGCATTCTTTGTGTTTACAATAATTGTTTCCTGTCATATTATTGGGCGTTTTATAGAGGGTCTTGAAACATGCAGCTCTGGAGAATCCAGTGAATGCTCTTTCCACTTTGAACCATTATAGAAATCGTCATGCATAACAAGGTTGGAGATGAAAATCCTTCAAGGACCATTTTCTAGCTGTGCCAACTGTGGGATTACCAATCAATTAATGGTTGACAGAAGTATGATATATACCATTCTTCCATACTATCATGCACCAATTGGGAATTCTTTTTTTTCCTGCATCACTGATCATTCAAATGTTGTTTCACCTTGTGCTTGAGGTGTCTGGAGTATCTGTGCTGTTCTCAGGGACCCTAATTGACTCCTGTAGAAGTTGGGGTTTGATGTTGCCGGAGGTTGACCAAGTTGACAAAGTTCCTTTGTGCTCCTATTGCCAGCCACACCACCTCTATTCTTGTCTTCCATAAACATTGGAGCAGTGCCGTACCGCGGATCTTTGGCGCCCTATGCGAGATATCAATCCAGCGTCCCCCCTCCCCCCTCCAGCTTTCCCAGCACCAACAATACATGATATAATAATTTATGTTTCATTTACTTAAATTCAGGAGAATTTGCAGTTTTCTTCAATTTATATTCATATTTTGTAGTGAATTGGCGGCCAATCGGCGCCCTGTGCGGGTGCACCATTCGCAGCCCCTTCGGTACGGCATTGCATTGGAGCTCAAATTCGAAGGCACTATTCTGCCTATGTATATTAAAGTGATATTCCAGCAACCCCCTGTGTGTTCTATTATTTGTCTTCTGTTGCTTCTACAGGGAGGCTCATACAGTTGTACAGTATTATAAATAATTAAAAGTGTCTGCGGCCATTTCTAACTCATGAATGATTGGGGACGGCTGGCGATAAATACTAAAAACCTTGACCTTGATAAACTGCGCATGATCGCCCGGCACTGCTGCGCATAGTAACAATACATTTACGATACCTTGCTTTCTTTCACCGCCTCCCACAACCGTACGGGACTTATGGGCCTCCCTGCTTGTATACTTCTAAGGACTTAGGATAACTGAGTCCCCGCCATTTTTCTGTTAGATGCTGTTAGGGTGTGAAGAAAATACAAATTGTGAACGTCAAGGAATTATCACCGGCGATTAAGGCAAGATCCACGATTTCTACAGTTCAGAGAATATTCAAAATCATCTAGCAATAGGGTAAACACCCCAGTTTTGGCCACGCTGATACGACTTCCATAGGGAGTGGACACCCTGCGCGAACACCGGGAAACACCAGTAATAGGTCCTCGTACGGGAAGATGTTGATAGAATGCTTGAAAACGGCCAGATTAACTAATTGTTAGATTTTTGATGACTGGATTATTTCCTCCTTAAGCTTGCCCTTGTTTGCCTCGCCGACTACCAGTCATAGTTGTGCTTGGTTAAATATTTCCAGCCTGCAGTCAAGGAACTCATGAGCAGGGTCGCCCAGAGGTTTTCAAAGGCCTGGGGCAAAACTAAACCGGAGGCCCCTTGGGGACCTTTGGAGGCCTGGGGAAGATTTTCTCCGATGCCTCGCCCCTTTGGGCGAGGCATCGGAGAAAATGGGCATCATGGGCATCTGAGTTTCCTTAATTTGGAATTCCCAACAGCAGATGTGAGGGCCAGGGGAACTTACTGGAAGCAGATAAAGGGGCAACGTAATCCTTTCCTTCGCCATTTAAAGTTGGTCCCTCTAATCTGTCAATATTCACTCTTTTCTTTTATAGATAGAACCATTCAAATCCTTGCAAAATTTTACGCTAGGCGTAGCACAGGAGAAAACCACACGGGCTTCTAGAACCATATTAGTGTTCCGAAAACTATCGGAAACGTACAGTATATCATCCGTGGACAAGGTGGCTTCATTTTTTTTTTACAGCATTATCAATATCAACATTGCTTTGAGTTCTGCAAACTGCATATTCGGGAAACGAAACCTTTGCTCCGATGCAAGAACTCAGCCTACTGAGAACAAAATTATCGAAGGGGCGCTTTCTTTACGCTTCAGGGAAGTAAGAAGGTAGGCAATTTTCGAGGTCATAGGAGCAAAAAATACTTTCATTCCTCATCAGAGTAGTAGGGTCGTACCATGAGACTCTTATCGTCGTCGTCGACTGATTCAGGTAAGACTGGATGCGACCGCTATTCGAAATGGATCCATGCATCATCGTTGAGTCAAACGGGTCCAGATTTCGTTGTCGCATTCGTTCAACTCAAGGAGCTCTTGGTTGAAATGGGAGAGAATACAAGCGTGCTGACTCCGCAGTGAGATCTCCAGTCCGCTCTGAGTAAAGTCTTGAAGCAGTGCATTCAAGATAATGATTGGATATCATTATTATGCTATTTATCATTAGTATTGTTGTTTCAGGAGACGTGTGAGGAATTCTTCCTACTCATCAGGAAGATTTTTGCAGCAAGAAGGGAATAGTCAAAAAGTATTCTTTTTAAACTAATCATGTGAACACAAATTAGTAATTTCCAAAAACTGCAAAAGGAAAAAAAAAGGTTTTGTATTATTTGACTGACTATAATCCTTATTGATCAGTTTGGGAAATTTTTATATTAGTCCACCACTAATGATTTCTGTGACTGATTCTCGTGTACAGCATAGATGTTCAATTATAGGAACACCAGAAGGACTGAAAGACATGACAAGAAACCAAGTAGCAAGTTGGGAAGTGGTCATGAAATAAAAGGTAATTCACTTTTAAAACATTTCATTGTGATTAAAATAATTTAGGAATAGACAAGCAAGTTCACTTATAGGCTTGTTGGACCTGTTGCCACTTGGCTACCAGCGAGGAGACATTCTTCTTCTTGAACGTGAGAGATGATGACATCTTAGGCTGTCAGGAATAACAGAAGTTAGGAATGTGAACTCATCAGTGAAATTATATGACTGAAGGCTTCCAAGAGATTCAATTACTAACCTTTCTCAGCTTCTTTTCTTTCACTGGCAGAAGGGTTTCTTGTTCCGAGTTCGAATGGTTTGGCAATTCAGACTCACATGCAAAAGCACTAGTGGAGGGGACTTCACTTTGTTCTGGCTTAGATTGACGCAAAGCAGCAGAATCTTCCTCTGTAGGTTTCTCACCTGTAGCATTGGAGTCTGACTTGTCATATTCCTCCGACTTCAGATCAGCAAGGTCGGAATAAAATGATGAGAGTTCTACACTGAGTTGGTCCTTCTTTTCTGGTGGTCTGGCAATTGTGTGAGTAGCTGATGCAGCATACTGTGGCATCACAAATGCTTGTGAGTAGTAATAACTCATGTGAGTCATGTCATAGGCACTAGCTGTAGAATAATATGTTATGTCATCTTTGGATGGGATTTCTGCAGTTGATGATGGACCTGACTCTTCTGCTGTTTCATCATCAGTATCAAGATCCATCTCATCTCCATTAGGTGAAGGTGAGGTCTTCTCTGTCGAGTCAGGGTGAGATGACTTGGAATTAGAAAGACGAGGAGGGGACTCAGGAGGAACAGGAGGTTGGGTGGCTGAGATTCTTGGTGGAGGAGGGACAGGAGGCAGATGGAATGTCTGATCAGATGATGCTGTTGTTGAAGATGGAGACAGGACCTCTCCTGGGGGTGGAGGCTCATACGGGGAATGGGAACTGATGGTTGGGGGTGGAGGGGGTGGAGGGAGAGGAGGCAAGGGAGGCAGTGGGGGTGGGAGAGCTTCTGGCAATGGGGGTGGTGGTGGCAGCTGAGGCATCCATGAAGATGTTGAAGTGGTGGTTGATGCATCTGAAATAAATACTTGGGAATAAATCCAAATGAAACAAAAATGAGCCAAAATAGGCACTTAAAAACCCACCATTTGAAATTTCATTATTGCTTGTTGGGGATTTTCTGATGCCATTATCCCTTGGAGGTTCCTTCTGGCTCCTCCTGCTCTCCTTGTGAGTGTAGCAGTAGATCTTGTCAGTCCTAGAAATAAAAGAAGTAAACTTCATGAGTGTATGAAGTCATACCATTTTCTCAGGGCAACAGTTGACATCTGTGACATAACTAATTCCCTAAAAAAATGAGAAACTTACCTACACAACCATTGTAATGTTTCACTGAGATCACAGAAGGCTTATAATCTGATTCCAGCAAACAAAGATGAGCAAATCCAGATTTCTTCTGTTGCCCATTCATCAACTTTCATCCATACCTTATACCAAGAAAACTTTAGCACAAAGGCAACTCTCTTCAACCTTGCATGTTTTCTGCATGCCTAACAATTTAGTGTTAGGTGATGGGTGTTCCCTTTGTATGAAATACTGTATACAACTACATAACTCAAATATAATACTAAAAAAGTAATGAATATGTGTAATATTGCATCCAGCCCATTGAAAAGAATACCAAGCCTGAGTGAGATAGAAACATTAAAAGGAATTTAAACAATAATCTGCCTGAAGCAGAAATTAAAAAATTAAGTACAACTCAACCCACTAGACCAGTGGTATTCAAAGTTTCTGAGCCAGGGTCAGTATCCAGAAGTGACCAGCCTTACATGGGCTGCACTGAAATAAAAAGATTTACCTATGTTAATAAAATATTACACTTTACAGGAAACTAAATTTTCCATTAATGGGCTGCATGTTAGGCTTTAATGGCCTACATGCACCCCCACAGTTTGAGTACCACTGCACCAGACCAAATTATCTGCCCAAGAAATCAAGCTTGAAAAGTATCCAACTGAACTGTAAATTGCAGAATACATGCTGATGAGTGTCAATAAATGGAGTTTAAGTGACTATCCTTATTTATGCAAGTCTGGGTTTAGTTGTATATTAAATGCTCAGTGAACAAAAACTGAAATAGAAATGACACTGCAATTATTCTGATACTCTGGTCGAATGAATTTCTTAAATGTCCAATATGACATGATTGGCTGAGTGCATACTGGGTGGCAAAAAAAATTAATCCTATTGATGTTTTGATGAAAACCAGTAGAATAAATACTTAGAATTGTAATCAATTTTACAAAACAAAAAAATGTTTTAAAATTTCTCTCCTGAAAGTTTATTTTGTCCTAGTTAGATGGCAAAAAAGCAACATTCAGTCAATTTCAATAAGACTCAGCTTTCCCACATTTACAGCTGTAGTTGTGCCAACAGAACTTAATAAGATGCATGCCTCATTTTTTACCCCAAAGCCATTTTAGGGCTGCATCCTTAGCGCAGTGTTCTTGACTTGTGTGGATTCATTGTGTTGCAGATTACACAGCAAAAAATTACTGCAATAAAGGCATCCTTTTAAAGGATGACTGGATAAGGAAGAGATCACACAAAAAAAAGTTCATGATCTGATGGGAAACTCTGACTACTCTCTTCCCTTTCCAGTCCTATTCAAAATACTCCTCTCTCACATCAAGAGCTTCTTTTCTCAGCTGTGGCTTGAAGATAGCACTGTGAATGACACCATATTAAGGATGCAACCATAAAAAAAATAGGCTCAATGGCACCTGAGAGAAACTTCTTGAGCACTGCTGAAGCTTCTAAAGTCTGAGTGGAAAATCTGAATTTTTTTGCTTGAGTTTGAATGACTATTGCTTTTTATCCATATGACTCAAGACACTTGAAACACTCAGAAAGAATACTTTATATTTTCTCTGTGATACAAAAAATTAACAAACCTAGCAATTCTACAGTTGGTATTATGAAGAATCAAACAGGAAACTTTTTTTTAGCACCACCCAATATAAAGGTTATTACAAAAAATAACTATAAAAAAATAAAATAGCAATGACACAATTTTTTTCTTATCTTGTAAGACTTGCACAAGAACAGAAGCTAGCAAGCAATGTAAGAATGGGCATCACACATCACTTGCATATTATATGCTCTGACTGTCACAAGACATGGTCAGAGCCATGGTTGGATTTATGCAAAACATTAAAAACACACACATTTGGGACACATGGCCAAAATGCTGGGGGTATCATGAAAACAAAGATTTGATGGAGATTTCATCACAAAGGCCTACCTATACACTTCCACTGGGATAATAACACCACATGGAGGGCTCATTTAAGGGTCAAAATTAACTCCCTGTAAAAATGACTACCAGTAGTTCAACCTAAGGGTATGAATGTGATGTGCAATAAAATGGAATTTCCTGTTCTGTCTACCAATAGTGGCAGTTTTAGTAAATGTAATGCTGATAAAATCACATGGCAAAGTAAAGCCTTAATGTTCAAACACCTGATACTCATTTTCAACCATAGGAATATAGGAATATTATCTGGAAGGAAATTCAGGAATGCAACAACTGCAGGATCCCCTTAACTTTTCTCAGCTGCACCTGTAAAAACAGACTCATTTGTGTAACATATCAAACACCACAAACAAGGACAGCTTCCCAAGTGAAATAAAGGAGAAAGCACTCACCACAAAGTTGTGCAGATGATGATGTACATGTTTCAAGAATATCCTATATTTCAGCATCTGATTCATAGACCTCTGGACCTATGATACTTTTCTTGCATAAAAGGGATAGAAAAGGTCCCCCAAAAACACAACACTCAGAGAAAACTGTTTTCACACTAAGTGATGATGGCAGGGTTTTATTGTTGCATTGTTCCCATCTCTGATACAACAATAACATGTCACAATAAGGATGATTCAATAGAGCTGAGACATACCTAATCCACTGGCACGACCAGTTGGGAGGCAGGATTTCCTGTTCCAGGAAGGGCATACGAGCAAGTGTCTCCTCAATCCATTTGGCAAAGTAAATGTTGAGCAAGGCCCTTTCTTCCCAGGCTTTCCCTAAAGCCTGGAATACAAATCAGCATCATGGCAACAATTCAAGAGATCAAGGGAAAGGTAGTTCCTCATGTCAAGAGGAAATTTGTACCTGTATCTGAGCAAATAAGAAGGATGCTTCAGAGGCTTCTTTGAAATCACTGTTCAAGGCAAGGAGTCTGGCACAAAGATCTTCATATGATTTTTTGAGTTCAGGTGGTAAGAGCTCTGGAGGAGGTGAGTCTGAAAAATCACATGGATTTATGGAGTATTAGGTCCAGACCAGTCCAAGAAAACTGCAAACTAATTGTGCCTAACAGTTAATGCTTACCTGAAGGTGAAGTTCCAGCATCCTGTGTGTGACACTTTGTCACCAACTTTGTGGGTTCTGAGGCAGTAAATGGAGATGTGGATGGAGTAGAAGTAGTAGAGATAGGCATTTCTTCTTTTATCTGTACCAAAGTCTCTCCTTTGATGAAGGAGATTTTGCTGAACACACTTTCCTCCTGCTTCTTTAACTCACTTTGCCCATCCTTCCATTCCCTTTCAGGACTATAACCAAACCCTCTATGGAGAGATCCATCCTGGGTATACTTTGAACTTACTGCTCCTACCTTCTTCCCAAAGGCATCAGCTGTAATTTCAAACACTTGGTTTCTGATAGAGGTGGTAGAATCGGGGAGATTGTTCTTCACAGTAATGCTCTGTTTTTCCCATGGATTGCTAGATGAAGAAGCCTTCTTAGAATCGGAGATCTGGTCATCCTGCAGAACAGATGGTTTATTTTCTTCTTCTTTGTCTTCTACCTTTGGGGGGAGCAGCACTGACAGTGAAGTTTCTTCTGGCATGCACTTACTTGGAAGTGGGACACAGGTTTCAGGTTCATAGTCTGGAGGGGTTTCCTTTTCAATCTCAGCAATAATGTCATTTATATCATCTGGTACACCTTCACCTACTTTGCCACTTGGCTCATTATCACATGTGGGCTCTTCACTTTGTCTGGAATCAGGGAGAATCCCATTGGAGCCTGATGCTTGGCCATAGGCAAATGACTCACTGGAGTCAGGTGATCTCCATTTTGTTGACTTCTTTTGACATAATTTTGAGCTGTTTCCCTGGAGCTTTGCCCCTGTTGAGGACTCTGCCTCCTCTGAGGTGACTGCTGGAGTACTCATGGTATTCTCCATCCCCGGAAGAACAGGTCCCACAAAGAGTGAGGCTGTGAAGATTGGATTTCGGGAAGATTCAGAGTCAGGGGGAGCTGTTTTTTTCTTCTTCTTTGGTGGAATTGCCTGTTTGGAATGGTCTGGTGGGAGTTGAGGTCCATAGGTAGGAATATCAGTTGAGTCTGGAGAAGCAGATCGAGATATCATCAAGGATGTCTGCTTCCTCTTTCTTGGACCCAACTTCTGAGCAACTTCGTCTGCAGTTGTCTCCCCTTCTGAATCATCAGATGAACTGACTGGTCCATAGGAGGTGATCAACTCAATCTTTCTACAAGGAAAAATTCAAATCATTGCTTTCAAAAGTGTCTTTTGTACTGGTTAGCTAAATACCAGTGCTGGAGCCCCAGGGTCTCCACTACTGTAACTGTCCATGAAATGGACACAAGATTAGTCAGGAGTGCCTCCTTGAGCAGTGTTTCTCAAATGCCAATCTTTGAGACAGCAGAAGATTTAAGGTATTTTAAACAAAATAACATTTCTATAGTAAATTTTAAGGTATAAATTTCCCTGGCCAATTATCACCTCCCTTGTACACAACCCATAATCCTGGGATAGCGACCTCATCATATTTTAGAGAGCAGAGTACAAGGGGATGAGGAATGGGTGGCAGGGAAGCACATGATAGAATCTTCAGACATGTCAATTTGCAACTCTTTTGGGAAAACAGGACACAGTCTATGATGGCATAAGGTTGAGAACCACTGTCTTGGAGTGCCTCAAGTGTCTTGTCTAAGGAGGCTTATGCCTAGTTCATACTTTTGCTGTACAGTCTGCTGGATGCAGTAACTGCATGCTGGTAAGAAAAATCCTACCCAGCATATTTAGCTGCTGGACTACAAACCTGGAAAGCAACAAGAACATGGCTCAATGGCAACTACAGGGTGGCACAAAAGTTCATAACTTTTTTTTGCAACCTTTATTAATATAATTTAACAAGCTCAGGAAAAAATCCCAAATAGACAAAAACATAACTCAAACACTAGACTTTGCAAACAAATCACACATTCTGAAAATATTCACCATTAGCATCTATGCAAGCCTTCAAACGTTTTGGGAAGTTCTAGACAATTTTACACAAAGTTTCAGTAGAAACGTCATTTCCTGCTGCATGTCCAAGAGAGTTGAAACTTTTGTGAGGTTTTTAACAGGCCCTGGACACCAAAGTACCCCACATGGAATATGCCATTGGGATGAGATCAGGCAAATATGGAGGCCAATCCTTGGAAGAGATGAAATTCGGAAAAATGGTCTGCGCACCACTGATGATTCAGATTTGCCTTGTGGAGCGGAGCAGAATCTCGCTGAAAGGTCCAAAATTGATGTGCCAAGTGTTCTTGAGTCCACGAAAGCACAACCCCATCTAGGATTAGTGTTTGATACACTTTTTATTCACTTTATCACCTTCATCAATGAAAACCAATGGGGTTTTGCCGGTTGAGGCTATTCCTGTCCAGACCATAACTAAGAGTGATTTCTGTGATCGGCTAACAACTCGACCAGCAATGTGTCAAAACCATTTCCCGAATTTAACCTCTTCCCAGGATTGGCCTCCATATTTGCCTGATCTTAACCCAATGAACTTTTCTGCTTGGGGTATTTTGGAGTCCAAAGCTGTTCAAAACCTCACAAAATTTTGAACTCTTAGCAATGAATTCTCCAAGCAGCATGGAATGAAATTTCAGCTGAAAGTTTGAGTAAAGTTGTCTATAACTTCCCAATATGTTTAAAAGGCTTTCATAGATGCTAATGACAGATATTTTGAGAATGTGATTTGCTTGCAAAGACTAGTGCTTAAGCTCCATTTTGTCAACTTAGTATTTTTCCATGAGCTTGTTAAATTATATTAATAAAGGTTGCAAAAAAGTTACGAATTTTTGTGTCACCTTGTAGATGCCTGCAAAAAAACTGCTGGATCAAAGAGCAACCATTCCTACTTCTGAGGTTGCAGAACATGCAGTACTGCAGATGTAGCATTGCATTTGCCTGAAGCAACATATAGTTTTGCTATCTGTTAGTTTGCTGTAGTGTTCTGTGGGAAACATCCAGCATGCTATAAAGCAGGAGTATGAATTTGGTCTTAGAAAATAGATGGTCACTTCAATTAAGTTCCACATGGACAGGAAACCCAGTCATTAAGCTAAACATGAAAAAAGGACCACAGGAAAAAAGCATTGAAGCAAGCAAGCATGGAAAAGTTTTAAATAGCTCAGCAAGGTTTGAACTAAATTTTCCTTGGAGATCTTGGACCCTCAGGCTTGATAGGGTTCTCTGAAAATGTAGAGTTCACAAAGAAATTTACATGATTGTAGGGATCAAAATATGAAAATTACACAAATACACCAATCCAATGGAATCCATGTTCATGCACATATTATATATTTACTATCTATTTCTGATGATATCTCATAATGAAGAACTTCAAAGTATCTCTAACCTTCAGTCTCCCAGTGAAACAAAGGTGTATGTCATGTGCTCCCCCTTCACAAGAGAATCTGCTAAGGATCTGGGTCCTTGCCTACCTTTCTCAATGTAAACTCTAGGCATCACTCCCTGAGTGTACTGCACTTTCTTTATGGGAAGATATGCATGCATGGATAGATACTGTTGATATTAAATTAGAAAAGAATATAGAACATTCCCAAAAGGTATAGGGTGGCAAAAAATGGAATAAGACTGCTTAAAAATAGTTGGGGACCATCATAGAAGGAATACAGAGGCCTGACTGATCTTTGAAGGAAACTGAAAGTCTAAGTAATCAGTGACCAGCAGAGAAATTTCTGTTAAACACTAATGCAGAACTTATTTAACCTTTAATCACTCATTAAGACAAAAAAAAAATCAGACTAACCCTTCATTCTCCATATCTGCTTTGCTGGTTCCAGAGGTTTCAAGAAATTCCTCTGTCATTTCCTTCTTCATCTTGGTTGTACCACTTGAAACAGGATGATTTGAATGACTTGGGAGCATCGATATGGAGGGCCTTGTAGTGCTAGGCCCAGGTGCAGAGCTGGTAACTGCCTGAGAATGCTGCTGTGTACTGGCAACACTTCTCTCAGCAGTGAAGTCACAGTTTTGGGTTATAGTTGACTCCTTCTGGTACAACAGGGATTCTTGAGGTGGGTCCCATGTCACTTCATTGGTTTGGTAATTCCAATAATATGGATATCCTGTGCTGTCATCATAGCACTCTTGCCAAGCTGAAATAGAAAGAAAAAAAAAACATAAATCAAAATAAAGGCACCATTATAGCATAGTTCTGGCAGCAATATTAAATGATTGAGTCATTTCATAATGCCTCTTGGTTTATTTGATATTAAATCCTCAAAACAAAATCCATTCTCTTCTTAAAGTAAAAAATATCACAGGATCTTTAGATCCTACACTACTTCTCAAATGAAGCAATGCTAAAAATAAATAAACAGTTTTCAAGTCCTCATGTAGGTCTGTGCAAGCAAATTTTCCGGGAAAGTGTGAAGTGAAAAAGAATCCTGTTAAAAGTTTGGCAGTCCCCATGCACATGACTTTCCTGATTGAAGAGGTGCAAGTGTGAAGAACTTGTCCTACATAAAAATTATTTATTATCCTTGTGGGGAACCCTAAGGTAACAACCTCCATTAGTATTGACAGAGCTCAAATTCAACAACATTGTTCTTGGATTGAATTCATACAAGCCTCCCCTATCCCCTCCTCCTGCAAAAAAAACTACAGGAGTACCTCCATCAGTTGCAGGTAGTGGCACCTTCTACAAGTGTGGTTCTTTCAGATCATCTGATTAAAGTGATTCCTCTTAAAGTAGTGCATTTTCCAATACCCAACGGGAGTAAAAATTCAATCCAAAAATAGTATAATGTTCAGTAATTCTAAAAACTTCCCCTTTTATTATGCATTTAAAAAAAAGGCAGTAAGGAAATGTCATCACTTTCTGCATTTCTGATCCTGGTCCCATTTTTTTGCTTCTCTGTGGATCCCAGTTACCTAAAAATTGCATGTGGGGTGTAGGGCATGAATGCATCCTTGAAACAAATAAAGGATCGATCAATAACCATAACATTCTAACAATTACGAATACCTCAACATAAATAACTTCCTTTTCATATAGAAAATGAAGCTGGGTGGGAGTTCCACTGACCAAACTGCTGATGGCTGTTGGTGCTGTCCACATAAGAATTCCCTTGAACAGAGTAGCCATCCTGAAAAAGGAAAGCATAGCAGGCATGATGATAGGGCTTCATCCACCATAACAATCAAGTTTAGAATGCTTTAGGCCTATTCCAGTACTCTCTAGGATTATCCATCTAGACAGTATGCAAATATAGGAAACTACTTCCTTCTGGAAAGGAACAGATGATCAATACATCTTTAAAAAGTGATTTCTAAAATAATCACTGGTAGATAATAATTATACTTTTGCTTCAAAATTTTCAACACCAGCTTTCAGATCAAAAACATCAAAACTCATAATTGATAGTCTTAACCCATTCAGACCTGGTGTCCATGGCAATTCCTTAGGATTCTTGTGACTTTGCTCTCCTTATTTACAATGGGAGCAATTATGCAGGGCTCAGTTCCATCAGAGGCCTTCTTTCACATATTAGTTTTGTAATCTTCAGTTATTTAATTAAATGTATAATATATAATGTATGGTATGATATGGTAAATTTATACAAATATGAAAACTACATGTAAAGCATGAAAATTCCAATAACAATCACGAAAGAGCTCAAAAATGCAAATATATATATATTATTCCAATAGCAGCCTTAATTCAAGTCTGAAAGGGTTAAAGTGTGAAAAAGGCTGCAATCTTCAAACATATCATTATATCATGTTTTATTTAGTAATGAATTTTTCATAAAAACTTTTTAAAAATATGTTACTCGGTTTCTAGATAAGTTCAATGGTTTTCAAAAAGACACTCCTTCATTATTACAGAAAAGGGAAGTAGAACCTTCACTGATAATTCATTTTCCTTCCTCTGATGCCCTTTGTGAAGATATATTCTTTGTCCTAGCCTGGGGTCCAGGCATATATTGCCATATTATAAAGACTAAAGAAAGTCACATATTATATATGTGACTTTTAACTCTTTTTATAGAAATGTTTCTGGCCTTTCCGAAAACATAATGCTGTGCTATTGTAATACACTTCAATAAAAAATAAAACAGAAGCAGTCTTTTGACTTCATTTAGAGAAAAATATGCTACATTGAATATTTGTTTATTTTAATTCATTTGTTGAACTGATAATGGCAAACTGTATACAAAAACCATTTTGGGATATTAATATCTTTTTTTAATTATAAATGGATTGTTTCTTCAATAAAAAGTGAAAAATATCTCCAGTCTGGCAATACATTAGACATTGATGAGATGTTCTAAGGAAATTCCTTCTCCAAAAATTGCAAACCTGGATGCTCAGTTTCTTAATGTATGGAATATTACATCTAAGTTAGTCAAGAACAAACCAAATTGTCCCAAAAAGTTCCCTGAAAAAGTCACCAAAAAATCATGCCACTCAAGAAAAGTTCCTAGCTATTATCAATAAATAATATATTGTTGCAGATCTAGGAGAAATGGGTGCAGTACACCTTAACCCTTTTACAGACATCAGCATAATATTACATCAACATTCTTGAAATGTTCAGATATCCCTGCCAGGGAAAGGGTTAAAAACCACTTGTGCCAGTCATGGGCTTAGGCAACCTGTAGTCTGCCCCTATGGCCTCCTGGAGGACTGTCAAGGGGTGTTCCAGTCTGAGGGACTGGATGTCTTCCCCTTCCTCATTGTGTACTGTAACATGTTTGTTGTTGTTTGTGTCCATCACATATCCTACATTTCAAAATGCTGTAGGATTTATGGTACCTAGCCAAAAACCCTATCAGGTACATCACAAGTTGTGGCTTCCATTACCAGTAGAAGGTGGCAGTTTAGACCCTCATGAGGAAATAGGACATGGCAAAGAGATGCTTTTTAAAATTGAACTCTAAAGCATGTGTTAAAGAGATTCCAGTCTTGCTTTTAAAATAATGCTTCATATATTCAAATTTTTGGATACACCTTAGATGTGTTTCTTACTCAGGGTCATTTTAGAAACTGGGACCTCTGCCTTTGCTTTAAAAATTTTCTGACGATATTCATAAATACTGAAATGACAAGTGGGTGTTTGATAGGTAACCATGGCCACCATTAAGAATCCACCCCCTCCATAGTGACCTTGAGCAATCTTAACTCAGGGAAGCTGATTGTATTTATTTCAAACATACAAGTGAAGAGCCAATAGGGTATTGTTTATTTCAAGAGTCACCCATTTTCTTAACTGATCCAGACATACAGGATGTCCCATAAGTCACTATACCATTTTAAAAATTCACATCTACCAAGCAGTTGGGACAAAAAAGAAGTAATATTAACTGGATGATAACATGTCATTTGGAATTATCTTTGTCAAAAATTGAGGTATTTCTGAAGTTTGAAAGTGCTTTAAAATGCCCTCCGCTTATGTCAATACGTTTGGCATGTGGCTCACAACCAAAATATTGCCGAAACTCCCTTTGGACTCAGATGGGACTCTCAAAGACCTCCTTCTAGGTAGCAACATTCTTTTGTTGCTCAAGTGCTAATTGTGAAGCCTTTTCTCATGTCTGTGAAAGCAAAATTAAATGATAAATTAAACAATTAATGAGATAAAATTAATTTTATTTCTGTTCTTTAGGTCTGTCTGGAATAAGGAATGAAAGCCTGCTGTTTTGGAATTTTTGCAAAAGAGGATTCAACAAGGCGTACCATAAATCGCCCAAAAGACATGCTTTTGGAGCAATTTCTGTTTGAGTCTCATTCCAAGCCATTATTGTGAAAAAAATTCTAAAGAATGTTCATTCCATCAATGCTAAGAAAAGTGACCTGGTTGTTGCAGTTTGGAAAAAAATTGCAGTTTGAAATGGTATAGTGACTTTTGGGACACCCTGCATTATCCAATAATTATGGTTATATTGACGTAAAAATCAAGCCAATCGTATTAGTAGGTAAAGAGTTTCCATTTCCATGTGACTGTAGGTCTACTGAGTTTGGCTATTGCACGTCTTGTGAACACCATGTACACCCTGTGTACACCCATCCTTTAAGCCCAGTCTTCGCCTTGTGACTATAGCCATGTACTAAGTACAAAGCATGGGTGGAGGAGGCCTAGAATATATATTTTCCAGCCTTGATTAAGCCATCTTATCCATTTTCTATTAAATGCATCATATTGAAGCGCCTCCCCAGCGCTCTCTTATGGTTTCCGTGCGAGGCTATCTGCTGGGAATTTTTATTTCTACTGGAGCTGAACGCTGACTTCTAATTCTCATATACAGTCTAACTCTTGTTAATTCGGACTCGAGGGGACTGGTGATTTTTCCGGATTATCAAGTCCCTGCCCAAGTGACCATTCATTTTTCTTCTTTTTTTGCAAGAAGAAAACCGCACAAAATGAAGGCCTCATTACTCGGTTCCAGGAAATTGGGGAGATCAAACGTTTATTTATTTATTTATTTATTCATTTTAAATCCAAGGGTGAGGGAAAGTAAAGAAAAGGGGAAAAGACAAGGAAATCTTTTATTTTCTATTGTATTATATGTATTTTGCTGGAAAGTCCGGATTAACGGAAGATCCGGATTACTGGCGTTCGGATTAACGAGAGTTGACTGTATTGCACATATAGTAGCAACACACGGCAGCGGTACCCTCAGTGACATCACCACTACGACCACTATCAATGTATCATCCATTCCATTGACTGACATTGCATATAAAAATTATCGCATGCATTTTGGCATACGTCATTTACGTCGCACGACGACCCTGTAGTAGGGTAATGGGCAGGAACGGGAAGGTGTTCATGTCGGGTGTACACAAGATAGGTGTTCACAGGCCTATGAGAGGTGGTCACATAGCCCTGTATAAGGTGTACACATAGGCTTATAGTTGGTGTTCACATTATGAACTCGGGGTGTACATGGTGTTCACAAGACGTACAATAGCCGGGTGGCCCAATTAAGTATATAGTTTTGTTTGGCTATAGCTTGTTTAAATTTTTACCAATTTCAATAATATTCTAACAAGGTAGTGATGATCTTAGAACTTATTTTGGCCAATTTTCATTAGGTTCTGCAATGAAGTTTTTGAGAAATTATATTTTTACTTTAACTTGAAACTTTTGCATAGGCCCACAGATTTTTCATTGTGATTTGCATGTTGTGCATTTATTCATGTCATTGGTGCTGTTTATTAAGCACGTTTTCTATTTGATATATATAGTAATGAACCTAATATTAAAGAAAGATATTGGCTAAATAGGCAATTACCTGGCTGGGCAGTAAACTGCCCCCAACCAAGGTTCACAGATAGAGTAAGAGAAGTTATTTGGTGCTGAAATTGTCTGAAACTACCCAAGGGCAACAGAAAATGCCCAACCTTTGGACCCAGAAGCGCAGAACTTAGAGGTGAGGGTCCGAATTATTAGAGACAGCCTGCAGGTGTGGGGCAAGGCTAAAGGAAGTTAAAAAGAGAAGGGACAGCGAAGGATCCTATCCTAGAAATTTGTCAGGCAGCCTGCATTGTCGGGGTCGAGGCCGCAAGTCTGACCAATGGAAACTGGAAGTGTGCAAAATGCAAACAGAAAACTGCCATTAACAAGGTGCTCAGAAGATGTCAACTGCATTCAAAAACATTTTGAATGAGATCTGCAAGAGTCAACACGAAGAGCTGTAAAATGCCTTGGACATGAGCTGGATGACAATTCAATGAATTCCTGAAGGCAGTTGACATCTTGAGTGCCTTGTTAATCGCCATTTTCTGTCCGCAATTTTCACTCTTCCAATTTCCATTTAAGCATTGTGCCACATGATGATGCTCTGACAAGAAGGTGAATCTCGACCAAATCACAATAAAAAAATTAATTTCTCAAATTCTTTGCATCAGAATTAGATGAAAAATCAGTGTACATATGCAAAAGTTTCAAGTTAAAGTAGAAATTGAATTTCTCAAAAACTTTGAAGCAGAACTCAATGAAAATTTGCCAAATATAATTCTAATGTCAGCACTACTTTGTATTAAAATCTTTTTGAAATTGGTTGAAATTTACATGAGCTACAGTATGCGGCGAAAAAATGGCTACACTTATGTCCAGATTTATAACTTCATCCAGAAGTGGAACTGGGCCCCAATAATTTTTTCTTATGTAGAGGTTGGGTGATTCTTTATAAATAGCTCCGAGAACAGGGAAATCTTTTATTTTCTATTGTATTATATGTATTTTGCTGGAAAGTCCGGATTAACGGAAGATCCAGATTACTGGTGTTCAGATGAAGTAGTTGACTGTATTACACATATAGCAATAGTAGCAAAACACGGCAGTGGTACCCTCAGTGACATCACCACTACGACCACTATCAATGTATCATCCATTCCATTGACTGACATTGCACATAAAAATTATCGCATGCATTTCGGCATACGTACATTTACATCACACGACGACCCTGTAGTAGGGTAATGGGCAGGAATGGGAAGGTGTTCACGTCGGGTGTACATGGGTACACAAGATAGGTGTTCACAGGGCTATGAGAGGTGGTCACATAGCCCTGTATAAGGTGTACACATAGGCTTATAGTAGGGGTCCACATAACGAACTCGAGGTGTACATGGTGTTCACAAGACGTACAATAGCCCTGAGTTTGCCCTTTTCATCTCTTTAATGTATGCTATGTCCAGTGTGACTGCCTGCGCTCAATTAACTGTCCACAGTGCGGAGAGTCACTTGAATAACCTCCCACAAGTTTCAGCTTGTTTCACCTTGCTAGTAGTCACCTGTAGCGAAATAAATTGCCCAAGCAACGTACCGCACTGCGGAAAGTTAACTGACTGCGTCAGATGGCTAGCAGTGGAACAGGTTCGAGCAAAACCAGGGCTGGTAAGGCCTGGACAGGCCTACGCCTATGCAATAAATGTACAGTCATGCAAGCTCACCTGATGGGAATTTTGGCTGGGAGTTCTTGAAACCGTGTCATCAATTTTAGAACTTTGGGAAGGGAAGGATTGCGTGTCTTCATCATCGCTATCACTGTTGTATTCAGCAACCAAGCCCACCAAAGCACCCTTTGTTCGCTTAGACATCTTTCCAACTGGATTTAGCAATCAACTAGTCCAGTGAAATTGAACACATGCATCGTTCGACACCAACACGAAAACGGTACTACTCCGAACGCAGTTGAGGCGAGACACCAAAATCATGAGAGAATGGCAGTCGCCATATTTCGATGACGAAAGGACGCAACGTAGTTGCGCTCTTCTAGCCGTCCCTCTCAAGTGCACGGTTCTCTTTAATGGCAATCATCTCCTACTTCGTCTCATTAAAATGAGGGGATTTCACATATCATGAAGCGCTTTTCTTCTTCTTTTCTCTACCTTATGTGTTACAAAAAATTTATGTTCCTTTTTCAGACTGCACAAGAACTTTTAGAAGCTTCAGAGAAATCTCTCCACTCAGTGAGTTTTCTTGCAGTTGCAGAAAATGACACGGAGGTAGTGATGGGTCAGCCATGGGTAGAATCTCTATTCACGAGATCTTCCTACATGCTTCCATTCAACAAATTTTATGCCATCGTGACATTGTTGGGTTTCTCTCTCGGAAGCTGAGGTCATTCTCTTAGACAGGCAAGACGGGAGGCAAGGTCGGGGATGCGGGTGACGGTATGCACGATCCCGAGTCGGCTAGACAAGGGAGGAATCACGTGGTCTAGGTCGGAAGGGGTTAACGACAGGTTGAAGGAGTTATGTATCGCGGAGGGGGCAGTGTTTCTGGACACTAGGGAGGCTTTGAGTCGCTGTAGAAGTCCGATGGCTAGGGATGGAGTACATTTTTCGAAAGAGGGAGCTATAGCAGTCAGATTGGCTATCATGAAGGAAAATGAGCCTTTTTTAGGGTTGTAGATGGGGTCGGGGGGGGGGGGGGG